TTAGTCTATGTTTCTTTACCTAGTTCTATATGTACTTTATTGTTTATCTTTGGATTTTTTTTTCCATTTGTTCGACCTTATGGCTAAATTCGGGTTTGATTTTATGGTCAATTTTATATAATTTATTGGTTAATTCATAGGTATAAATTTTATTTCCGACTTGAAAAAAATATTTAATTTCACTACTCATTCCAGTTTAGGGTTCAACAATTAATTGATATTTAGGTTAAGAATAACAAAATATGAGGGTACAAAGTATAAACTAGCTATTCCTTTATTATACATATGCATATATATTGTCAACTTGAACCTAGCATAATTAATTGAGGTAATTATTTTCGATAGTTCAAATTTTTATAAAAAGAAAAAAAAAAGTTTATTGTTAACATTATAACAACTTTGGTGAAAATAAGAATAATAAGAATAAAGAATTATAAGAACTCTATATTGGGTTAAAATGTATTAATTAAGATGGAATGTAACATGAGAAGATAAGGGAATTTTGGGTTTTATTATAAGCTATTTGGAAGTTTTCCATGTGGCATGTTACTCTCTTGTTGAAATTCCAAGGAGAGTTAGAGAGAGATTGATTGGGCAATAATTTGAGAGAGAGATTCTTTCTTCTATTGATGTGACACAGACAAGTGAGAATTCCATGCATGGCTTATAAACCCAAATATCATTAATTCACCTCTCACTTCTCTCTCTCAACTTTGGCCTTCATTTTTTTCATCCATATCCGTAAGTGTTCGGATCAGTTTATATACATACTTCGACTAGATAATCATCATGAGATTTGAACTTATTTCTTCCAAATTCTTTTGATTTACTTTGATCTTTTTGGACCAATGAGTCAACCCATTACAATTATTTTGCCCTTTCACTTTCGTGGAAGAATTATATAATTTCTCAACACAATTTTTTTTATACTGTTTTAGTTTATTTTAGGGATAATAACCTCTTGTTAAATTTAACCTTCATTTGATTTGAATTAAAAAAAAGTTGGAATATAATAAAATAATAATAATAAAATGTAAAAACCGAGAACTACTGGATAAATAATTACCATCGCCTTCTCAAACTCTCTCAATTTGAACTATTATGCCCTCAAACTTATAAGGATGAAGTGAAGAAAGAAGAAGGAAGCGTCATTTACTTAGTTTGTCTTAAATTATAAAATTATATTAAAAAATTAAGATTTTGAATTTCCCACCTCTAAATTTATATATATATATATAAAGTTAATTAGAAGGTAAGATTTTGTGAACATTTTTGGCTTCCCTCACTATCATATCCCGTTGAGTAACAATAATCGAAGAATTCAAATTCTAGGGATAATACCTTAATTTAATTTAGTTATGCTTAAATTGGCGAAATTATTGCAATTATCCTATCAGATGTGTTAAATTATATTATTGCAATTAAATCCAACAATTAGTGGGATTATAATTAAGGTATGCTATAATTGCAACCATTATGTATATTTATGGAATAATTACTCAAATTGAAATCTATTTAAGGGTAGGATTATGGTAACATAAGTAATTCATGCTAGATTTTTGTTATTATTCCGAAAATTTCATATCAACTAATTTTGTGTCTAAGGAGAGAATAGATGTTGCAGGGTAATATTTTGTCAACCAAAAAAAAAAAAGATGTTGCAGGCAAGATTCAAATTGTCAATTTCAATGTCGACGAAAATATCGAGGTCCGATTTTATGGACATCTCGATAGACATGTCGACATCGACAGATATTTCGGGAAAAATCACCAAAACTGTGGATATTTATTCAAATTTATTGAGTTAGTACATAAGACTTTAATGGTAGCTTAATTAACCAATAATTGATCACTTTTGACCATCCTATCTAAATATAGGTAAATACTAATAGAATTATCGTTGTAATGAAAACGTCGGAACAAAATCATGTACACATACATGCAAATTATTTGAATTAGTAAATTAAAGTTATTGTTGCTTTGCTTATGTTTTATTGATAATTTCTAATCTAATCTAGCCTTTAATTACATAATTGGAAATATCAATAGATATAAAAGATGAAATAATGGTAGAAAATTTGAAAAATAAAATTTATTCTATACAAATGGTCATGATATAACTTAATTAATACCAGAAAGATGACATTTTCTTTTAATTCAAATAAACATACATAATATTAGGAAAAAAATCCCAAATTTGAATGGACAAATCTCGTTAATTTGTTTTAGATAATCGTCTCGCTCAATTATTTTCTTAGGGAGGTTTGCCAATTCTTAGTGTTTTTCATATAAGGGATGAACATATATAAAAAAAATTGCATTCAAGAAAAAACATATAAAATTATTTGAAAGGAGTAGAAAAACAAAGTAAAAGGGCAAAAAAAAGGAAAAAAAAAAGGGCAAAAGTCTACCTAATCAACTAGTTGAAGTGGAAACAAACCTTGGTAAAAATGAAAAAAAAGTGGATTTCAAATTATTGAAAAAAACAATTCCTAGATTATCTCAAATTATTGAACTGAAATATCCGGTTCAAATTATTTAAATGAAATATCCTAATAGCTTATATTTTCAAATTATTTTTAAAAAATCAATTTCTAGAATATAAGTTAAAACGAAAAAAAAAAAAGAAGTTTGGTCGACATATCTCCTCGACATGTCGTCATGTCAATTTTTCCCCCTCGTGTTGAGCGACATTATGAACCATGGCTGCAGGGTAATAATTGATTTTCTTTTGTAATTTAGAAATATTTGGTTTAAATAATATTTTTCTCTCTATACTTTTTAACTTTGACCTAATTTGATAATGTACTTTTAATTTCAATTTTTGTTTATTTTAATCGTTTTAGAACGTCACTTTTGGTCTGTACTTTTAAAAAGAACTACTTTTTGTCCTTATTTGTAAAACTTGAATACAAATTTTATACACAATGGAAACTCTTTTATACATTTAGTAAATGAAGTGTCATCCTAAAATTTTGATTAAAAGAAATGAAATAAAAATAAAAACGAATGGACTAAAATGAACTAAAACGAAAAATACATGACTAAAATGATATTTTTAAACTGATTTTTTTTTCAGTACAACTACACATATGACTCATGAGGATGGATATCGAACTCACAGTGTTTCCGTTAAAAACATATGCCTTAACCTTTTGAATTATAGTAAGATCGGCAAAAATATGTCGATGGGCGAATCTACACCCAAAAGAAAAAAAATAATAATAAGACCAATACAAAAAAATTATTGGAAATTGTAAGATTTTTGGGAAGTGGAATTGATTGATGGTAAAATGTTTGATCAAACACAAGATGTAGTTGGGAAACACACAATACATTAATTTGAGAGATGTGATGGTTTTGCCATTACTTACTTTGCATTTTGTTTATGGAGAGATTTGCATTTTCTTATTGAATTTTTGTTTGTGTGCTTTTGAAATTTTAATGTGATAAGAAAAGAATTTCAGACTTTTAACTCATGATCAATTTTTTCTCAAAAAAAAAAAAAGAAAGAAAAAAAAGAAAATCATCAACTTTTTCTCTAAAGTAATGTGAATGAGATAACTTTTACTACAATTTAGGGGGGAAAAGTCCTTTTATCCTTTTAACTTAATTTAGTAAAACCAATTGTAATCTCATTCAAATTTTTTTTAGTACACAAAAAAAGAAAAAAATCATATAAAATTCAAAACTGTATTTCATATAAATTTTCTAACTCAATTATAAAAATTTCTTACTTCGACAAAATCAAACAAATAAAATATTGTCTTAAGTTGTCAACTTGAACCTAGTTCAACCAGTTAAAACATATATCTCTAACTAAAATGCCGTGTTTTCGAAACCCCGCCAAAACAATCTGATACAATATAAACAATCAATATTTATGAAATTCACCACAAAAACGCTCACAGCCAATCATAATTCTTTAAAAGAAAAAAGCCGGGTAACTTTGCCCTATAATTTACTACCATTTGAGTCGAACAGTAATTATTCTATGCTACAAATTTTACATGTTCATGTCATGTGGTAATTTTTGAATACAACTGGCAGTGCAAAATTCAAGCCATACATAATAAACTTAAAGCACTAATGTTTTTTAAAAAAGTTCAGTAAAACTTCACGACAAAGGCAACGCAAATTCTTCTGTTTCACATAANTTAGTTATTGCCAAACCATCTTTTATTTGTTACTAATTTTAAAATCTCAGATCACCCAATTGAGAAAATCCATCCTTGAAAACAACATTAAAGTAGATTTCTGAGTAATAATTCTTGGCGGGTTATTTACTTATAAACTCACAACACTGACTAAACAAAATTGTAGCATTTTTTCCCAATTTACTCGCTCTTCTGGTACCATTGAAAATGGCTATCAAACAAATTATGCAGACAATGAATCTAGTGGCTAACCAATACACGCAGACAATGTTCATCTTCTCCACCTAAACCGTACGGCTGTATGTGTATACATACACACACTAAAAAAATCTTAATATTCTCTACTAAGAAAATCGTTTCGCTTTTAGTTATCAATTTATCAAACAATTTTCTTTGGTACCACAAATAGATAACTTAACCTATATTCAAAATTGCCAGGCCTTTAGCCTTTCGTAGCCCACCAAGTAGCCCATTTTGAAAGTGATGGTAAAAAAAAAGGTTATTTTGAAAAAGGATAAATGATACCTAAAAATCAATTTCAAGTGATTTTAAACTTTCCTAAAATCAATTTTCTAATTTGTCAAAATATTATAAGAGATCAATTTTCCAAACACGCCTTAAAGATGACCCAAAAATAATGTGAAAAAAGTTACGGTTTAAAGATAAAGAATACCAAAAAGAAGAGACATCAACAGAACAAGAATGAACATTATAAAGCAGTACTATTGCAAAATACCCATCTTTCACAGAAACACAACTGAGCCACCTACTCAGTTCTAAGCAATTGTTAAAAAAAAAAAAAAAACTAACATTGACAAAGCAAAGCCAATGGGGAGACATGTCTGAAGGGGAAGAAAGTAGTCACCTGAGCAGCCATTCATTTTCATTTTCAATAAACATGAACAATACAAAACTAGAAACTATGTACAGCTTCAGAAACCAGTTCCAAGAATTACTTACTTCCAAGTCTGTGATATTGTTTCGGTCGCTCGGCGTTGCCGGGAAAGATAAACCATTCTTTTCTTTTAACCACAAAATACTATTTTCTCCCTTACAAGAGAGTGACGACTACAAGAATGAATCAATATATCCATAGGTATGCCTCCTGTTATATTGTAGTAAGCTTGCATATGTCCTATCCCAGATTCCTATGTACAGAGACTCATCATCTGGGCTCAACGACACCCCAGAGATCTCTCCGAAGAAATCGATCTCTTGTCTCTTCTTATAATCTGCACTTGTGCTATACACATGTACAAAATCTGCAGGTTCAGCAACCACCATGAACTGACCGTCTGATGAATAACGGATCGACCGAGCAGCACCGATATGACCCTTAAGAACTGCAATGGGTGATGAGAACTTCCTTATATCCCATACTCGGCATGTCTTGTCTTGATTCCCAGTAGCAAACATCCGACCATTGGGATGCCAAGCAGAAGCGAAGGAGTAATCTCGATGACCAACAACCGTACCTATAGCCTGAAGCACATTATAATTCGTTGTGTCAATGTCATTTACCGATTACAGCATAAAATGCCACCACCAAAATACTAAAGTATCTTGTAGGCTACATAAAGAGTAGGAAAGAAGATAAAGAAAAAGCGATTCATTATCATCTGATCTTCCATTAATAGTTGTGTGAATTAAATTAGATACATTCAAACAACGAGCATTAATACGTGCCGTACAAATGACAGCAGATTTGAATAGGAACTACTACATGGCAAGGACAACATTTTAAAGACTGAAGGTAACCTCGTGACTTTCTAAGAAACAGAGTGTAAGCCTCAAACTCAAAGTGATATGAGTTTATCCACCTCTCATGAAAATATATAAATGTAAAAACCATGTATTAAGAGAAGTCCAAAAAGAAGAATCTTACATCCACATGCTATCCTAAATTAAATAAAAATTCTATAAGTTCTTTTCTTCTAGTCCTAGGGGTTACCAGTAGTAATACCATAGGGGTTACCAGTAGTAATACCACAACTCTTATCGTGTTAATATTACATACATAGAGGCAATTCTCGTGAATCAAAGAAGGCAAAAGTTTTGAGTCTAGAATTTGATGAAGCCCAAGACGAAGACTCAAAAGCTGTTTAAAATATTAGCAAGGATACGAAGTCCAAGAAAGTATAGGATTTGAGCCATCTCACTTTGCTTTTTCTCCTTACAATTCCTTTATCCCTCTCTTCCCATTTTACATTTTGATCCAACACCAACAGATCTTCAGTATTCCTCACTGATTTCTAATTCTCTACTATCTTACAGACCAACAGGGCTAGTGACAACAATGAAGCTAATGAATGCCAAAAACATGCAATCATAACAGAAACAGCTAAAAAGCATGGTAATGACTTCGACAAAACATATAAAGAACTCTATCCCAAACTAGGAGCCCAGGCAAGAAGTTGAAATAGCATTAACTTTCTAAACTCCTACATAAATTCAACCCATACTCTAGATAATAACGGGGTCAATCTGTATGGCATGAAACTTCCCTTACCGTTCCATTTCTTGAATCAACAATCAATCCATCTGTGTGATCCCCAACAACAGTGATAAGCCTCCGGTCTGGGCTCATTGATGTATGCTGCAGCAACAGAATGATAAACAAAGAATCATTAAAACATTTCCTGAACATTTTTTTCCACACAATTCATGTCTTTTGAAAACAAGCCGTATCCTCTAAAATACTATTGTTGCATTGAAAATCATTAATTATTGCAAATTAACTTTCACTACCACAAGCAGGGCTGTCCTAGATAGCAGTCATATATTCAGAAAGTAGAAGAAATTAGTAGAGAAATGTAAGGAACAATTGGGGACATAGACACAATCAATCATGTAAAATCTGGAGGGGACATACATTTACTGGCCATGAAAAATGGAAGTGATTCAAAAGCTGAAACCTCTCCATGTCATACTCTCTCACGCTGCAATCATTATTTGCTGCCATGAAATGTAATTCACCACTGCAAAATAATAAATCAGTTCGAGTTCATGTACATACTCCAGCCAACCAGACTCAGCCAATGTGATAAAATACCTCATGCTGTCATATATTTCAACAGCATTTGTAATTGCGTTATCATCATGTGTTGTGCGAGTACAGAAGCTTACTCCTTGTTTATCCAAACGCTGCAGGAATATACACAATGGTTAATACAGTGTGATGCGACCGCTGTCACTTATCCAAATATTCTTAAAACAAAAAGTTGCTTAAAGTTTTCATAAATTTAACTAGACTGACAATGAAGTACTAACAATAGGTACCTTCATGTGCTAACACCACAGAATGAAACAAAAGGCAGAAATTATTCCCATAAGACAGCAAATTCACGATGATTATATCATAAAATGTCAGATTTCAAATTGACATCATTCCTCTCACATTGCATTAATTAACTAAACCATGGAAACCAACATGGGATGGCTCAAGTGGTCAATGAGGGCCAATGTAAAGTCTAAAGGACTAAGAGGGAATGAGTTCAAACCATGGTGGCCACCTACCTATGATTTAATATCCTATGAGTTACCTTGTCAACCAAACGTAGTAAGGTCGGGCAATTGACCCTATTCTATTTCATTACATTAATGAAATCTGTTTCTTCTAAAAAAAAAATAATAATAAATAAATAAATATTAAAACATACATCGAAAATTTTCTAAACATTGAAAATAGAATTGTTTCAAGTGAAGACACTATCAATATAAGAGGAGGAAACCATTCACATTCAAACTTTCATGGTATAGCCCATGTTTTAAAAAGCTTTTGAGGCTTACGCCTTGAGGCTCGCCTCGAGGCAAGGCTCTAACTTTTAGCCTCGAGACTTACGCCTTCTTTGAACCATAAGAGGCTTACGCCTCTCATAGAAGAGGCTTACGCCTCTTTGAAGACACACTGAGGCTTAAAGTCTTTACGCCTCGTGTAATGATTAGAACAATTTTAGTAATTTGCCCAATTCTTACAAAATATAAAGGTTTCTTTGCATATGGAATGCACTATAGGTGTGGCGATGATTCAATCTATCACTACTTTTACTAATTGGACTTTAAAAACATTGGAGACAAATTTTATAGAATAAGTCAATCATATTAGTGATAATAGTACTAGTGATAATAGTAGTGATATTAGTAGTGATATTGAGGATCTTCTTTTAGGATTTTTATTTAAGTGGTAACTAACAGATGATTTTTTTATACTTTTATATAACTATTATGTTTAGCAATACTTGATCATACAAATTTTAGATTTGTATAATTTTTTAATTAAAATTGATGCTTACGCCTCATACCGCCTCGAGGCTTACGCCTCGCCTCTTCAAGAGGAAAAGCCTCGAGGCAGCCTTTAGCCTTTTAAAACATTGGGTATAGCAACAACCAATGATCTTTTCCAGCAGTTAGGGGTTCTCCCAACCATGGACCAAGAGAAAACAATGGTATTTCCCCAAAGAAAAAAGGGGGAAATCCAGCATTAGAAAATGTGCTAAAAACTACTAGCGATGTGCTAACCTTGCAAGTAAGCTCTCCTTGGAATCCACCTGCAACCAGAAAATTGTCCTTGACTGCAAGTGTGCTAATCTGAGTTTGTGTAAAACCCTCTAATAGACTTCCAGCATGTTTCTGCATAACCAACCAAACAAAAACCATCCAGAAGGCATAGGGAATTAAAAATAATCGCATTGACCATCAACTCCTACTTCCAACCCTTAATAATGGGATAAAAAATTGCACATGGTCCACACCATCAGTGGAAAATAAAGCGGGGGGAAAGCAATACAATAAGCACAAACAAGTGCATTGGAAAAATAGGCACAAAAACGTGTAATGGCCACTTCACTAAAAAGGTACAAATATTCTTTTACCATCAACATCAACGTCCAATAACATGATTTAAAAAGAAGTCCTTTTATCTTCAATAGATGTAACAAGTAGATTCATCATTTTATATCTGGGTTCTAATTTACTTTAACGTGCAAGGTAATCTCCAGTTCCATCACCAAGTGAACAGAATTATGCAGAAAGATGAGAAACATCAGCAGCAATGCTTATGATAGTCTCTGAATCTCTTACAGTCTCGTTGATTTGCTAAAATATAATAAACAATTGGAATAAGTGTGATACATACCTCCGTAGGTGCTACATGCCCAGAAAAGTTGAGGATCTCAGATAAGTTGCCGGATAAAGATGACCAGTGCATGACAGAATAATTGGACATCAAATACACATCATGTTTTGAAGTCGCCCAAACCAAGTTCCTTAGCTGCGACGTGAAAGCAAATAATAAACTTCCTTCCTCCAAAGCACTCAGGAAGAAGATAATAAAAAAACAGCAACCAAAACATTAGAAAAATAAGGATTTCACCTCAGCATTCCATTTATTTTATTATGGCAGTCTGTTTGCCAGACATGGACTCGATTAACATCAAATATAACAAATAAACAAACCATCTGACACAAAAAGTGGTCCATGTATCGTCAGAGAACAATTACAAATTTACCAATAGTTAGAAAAATGAATGGAGATTAAAACCTGCCTCATAATTAACGTACAACTATAGAATAGGGATAGACAAGAGTTATTATCAGTTGCAAAACGTTCGTACCTGAAAGTGCAAGATAGTAGGCTTAACCAGTCTTGTATTGTGAAAGAACTCATAGTAGTTCCCTCCACTTTCTATTGCTTTGCACTCCTAAAAGGACAAATACAATTACTACAATACTTGTGTAAGAACTTCCAGTATCAATAAGCCCGTCCACAGCCTCCTACTCAACCTTTGAACCCCGTTAATTAAAGGAATAAAATGAAGAGGAAAATAATTTCATGACAAGTTATACCTTATCAACAGATGCTCCGGATAAAGGAATATTTTCATAATTTTTATACTGTTCAAGCCTTGTCAACCGGTACTTCTCGCGAGTAATATTCAAGCTCTCCCATGGAATACCTTGAATGTCCTGTCCCTTCCTCGCAAGGGCAGATGATGTATCTGTCACCTTGGTAAGCTGAAAGAAATTAAAGGATCTTAATGTCAAAGGCACGCACCAGAGCTATAAACTTACCAATATTGGCCCAATGAAGGGCTACAACAGATGGAGAATGGAGATGGAAAAAAACAAACCATGTCTAATTCGTCTTCACCCAGTTCTCCATCATCAATTTCATCAGCCATTTCATGCCCACCCGCCATGTAATCAAATTCATCCATATCTTGCTGATGGTATGACATGCCACGAAGTCTCTACAGGCCTCGCCAATCTATCCCTCTGCAATCAAATGCAGAAATCTTGCCGATGGAAAAAGCTGTAGAGAATGCATTTGCATTAAAAAACAAAATCGAAGCAATTCATTAAAATGACGTCGAAAGCAATACGCTAACAACCCACCACCAAGCACGAACACAAAATATATCAGACAGAAGGAAAGTACAACTTCCCAATTAGAAAACCCCCCAAAAAAGAATGAAACAAAGAAACTAGGATGCATATTCGAGCAAGTACGGAAGTTTCCCGAAAACCCATTTCGTTTTAAGCCTAATAACAACCAGCCATACAAGAACAACGCTAGGAAAACAAACAGAGAACTGATCATTCAACGAACAGTTAAAAAAAAAAGAATCACACACAAATTCGCGAAGAGAACAGAAGATATGCAATCGAAACGACCAATAAGCCGGACGAAGAAGAATTAAAATGAGAAGCAATAGGGAGGACATGCATAGGATTAGACCCAGAAAAAATACCCGTAAAAGAATCGAAAACGATCGGAATTAGCGGAGAAAAAGAAAGGGAATCTACGAGGAAACCTCGCACTCGTAAATTTCTTCAGAAAGAACCCAAAAAAAAAAACAATCAAATTGAAGAACAAGTTGAGGGAGGGAAGAGAAGGAAAGGAAGATAAACACACGCTTTTCACTTCCTTCTGGCTTTGTTGCGCCCCTCTCTCTCTCTGTTTCTCTCTCTAAAACTCCCAAATGTGATAACGATGGTGGGGGGTTTTAAGGAAGTCGGCAAACCGACCTCTGTCTCTCAAATTCCAAATCAAATAACATGATAAAATAAAGTTTAAATTTTTAAAAAGATATACTTTTTCAATTTGTTTAATGCCTATTGAATTGAAAGAGGAATATTGAGGATTACGTTTTGGCATTATTTAAAGATTTGGATAGAGAAAAATAACATAAACCCAATACGTGGTAACATAATCAATGGATAGCCCATATTAATTTGAATTTCACCATGTGACTAATTTGTTAGGAGTAAAATTATCTAACTGGATTCGCCCCAATTGAATTGAGATCAAGAAAGTAACATGAATCGTGTCATGCGAGTCGGACTACTCGACCTAACCGGATCAGATATGTATTACAACTTACTTTTTGCTACATCTTAACTGAAATCTTTGTTTGATTTAAGTCGGTGTTCCTTTGGAACAATTCAACATCGGGACTTGGATCAAAATTATGCATCAACACAAACATGAATAATTCGTATTAGGTCATAATATGAGTAGCTTGTGAATAGTCTATAGGTAAATATTTGAGATGTGCTTAATTAACGATCTTTAGACATTAAAGAATTTTCATTGTAGATGGATTGTTCGTTCATATCAACAATAAAGTTGCAAATCGTTATCAAGTGGGCCTATATTAATGTGATTCATCAATTTTATAAACTACCAAAGATTTTGAACACTTCACTAGTGCATAGATCAAATTAACTGGGAAATTCTAAACATGCAAATTTCAAGAACAAGATGTTGCAAGAATATGAAATGTCATGCCATCAGAAACAAATTAAATTTTTATTCATTGATCATAACATTAAACTAACTCTAATGAGTCAATATGAAAATTGCTTAAATGATTAAGGCATACATTATCGGTCTAAAGATTGTGAGTTCGAATCCCACCACCACACGTTAAATAATAATAAAAAATAAAAACTAACTAATGTAACCCAAGTATCGGACTTTTTATCCCCTATATGAAACTCCCAATTGAAAACATAAAATAAATTCACATGTTGGTAAGGTAAAAGACAAAAATATCCATATTCCAACATGACCTAGAGAGTAAAATTAGATAGACAAAATAATATCAAAAGTAATAAATTTGTGGGTCTTAAACCTTTTCAGACTAAAGATGAAGGACTAGACAACACTCATCATATATTCCCTATTACTCTACCATTAAGGAATGTTGGGGATTAACACTCAACATATTTAAGTACTGCCTTGTACAAATTCAGAGCTATGAGCTTTCCATGTGGCTTCATTTTACTGGCTAATATCTCGTGTAGTCATGTTTGTATATCACCATCCACTTTGGTATCTTACCGAACAAAGATCGATGGTGATACTGTTCCTCTGTATTGATCAAGAATTTCGATTTTTTGAAAATGCTAGGTATATGTTTAATACATGTAAAGTTGAACACTGTTTAATAAAAACTTAGAATAGAAAGGAACGTTGTTTAATAAAAATATACGATAACGCTGCTAATGAAAAAGGAATTGTCTACCTTTAGAAAGCCTAGACATTCTGATATCACTGCGGCCAACTTGGTTCGACTAAGTCGACTTGTGGAAATGCTGCATGTGTGCCAAAATAATGATAATCATGTATAGTGAGTGACAATTCTAACTCTCAGGTAGATAAGTTAATGATCTCTTACTTCGAAGTTTTTGTTTTTCATACTTTATTATTGTCATCTTTGTCTCAACCCGTCAAATTTTGAAATTTTCTATCATATTTTGAAATTCTAAAATTGTTATGGATGAGAAAAATTTTTCCGCAATTCGAATTCCCCTCATTTAAGCAATCAATCCTGATGGTATTAGGATTTCTCCTAAATTCAGTAGAATATATCTATAATTATCCTGATGGCCTTAGGATTTTCCCTTTCTAAATAGAAGGTATGCTACAAATCTACTCTTTGCTATGCTCACAATACCCTATACTCTATACTCGACTTATCTAATTCTGACTTAAGCATCGGAATCTGTGTGGTAAGACCACATCGGTTTAGTGTTTTGCAGGTCTCGTCGATCCCTTTATTTTGGAATATTGGTGAGAGTTTACCGAGATTTCCAAGATGTCAAATCTCTCCCTCAACAATAATATATAGAGAAGTCACGATTTAAAAAATTGTGATAATATAAAATTTTTTATAGAGTCTTGAGCTATGAATAGGGATTCTCATAGATGTGGTTTAGAAAATTGAGATTATACAAGTGCAACAACAAAATTTAAAGTACTATATTTGTAATTTAGTTTTCTTTCTTCTAAGTTTAAAATTTATAATTCTTTATTTCTTATAAAAATTATTTTTGAAAAATGCAAAAGATTGTCATGTCACTACCATTTTGCTATAGACTATAGAGTAAATAGGATCAACTATATATGTCGGTGATAATAACAAGGCAATTTGGATGCTGAAAGAATATGGTCTTAGCTGTCTCTAGAAAATTATTGAATAATATTATTACTCCCCCTAAATAATTTTTTATTAAAAATAATTAGAATATAGTAGAAAATTATTTATATTAACCTAATTTTCTTGATTAGTATTTTCCTATCTCGCTTGGGATGTGCATTCTCTCACCTCCAGTTAGTTAATTTTCATAATTTTTTTAAGAATCGATAATAGACCTACTTAATTATCAAGAAATTTCATGGTTCCATCTTTAAATTTCATCAAATTAAACCCTAAATTTAAATGAAACGAAGAAAATATGACTAAAATGGTAGGTAATGATTTTTTAGCAGTTTTTCTAAGGATAACAGTACACACAGTGGTATGATCATATTGTCCACCTTTTAACATAATCTTCATGATTTTGTTTTTTATTTCACCCAAAAAGTATCATACCAATGTGGTTTTGATTTTGACTCCTTGCAACCCCAACACAATATTAATTGGTTCTAGAGCAATTTTTAGACCTACTTTTAAAGAGATATTACTTTCATCATCCGCTCAATTATTCAGTCTAATGAAATTTAGAATTGTAAAATTAAAATGGACTCAATAATTTTCTTTCTACCATATCTTTGAACTACAAGAGAACATAACTTATCAAATACATTTTAACCAGTTAAGCTACGTTCAAGTTACAAATTAACCGAAGAAGTTAAATACATGATAGCATTTGAGTGTTCGGGAGAATGGATTTAAGGAGGGGAAACACACATGATTAGAGTAATAGGGTTGGAAATCAAAGCATGCACAAAGAAAGGAGTTGGTTGAATTAATATGTAGAGAAAATGATTTGATTTTGGGGGAAATTTAATGGTTTTGAAATTGGTAAGGGCATGGCCATGATTCAAGTATAGTGGAGGCATGCTTTTTGTATAGAGTGCCATTTTCTTGCTCCTCTCTTCCCAAGACTCCCTCTCTCTCCTCATCATCGTCATCTCCCACTTTACATGCAACTCAAAACTTACTTTGTAATACTTTTAATGGTGAAAGTTCATTTTGGGTATCTAATTTGATTTTAATTTTGTCAATAATGTAATTATGAATTAGTATTGTGACTATAATCAAAACTTCTATTTTTCTGCCTTATTTATTAAAAATTTAATGGTGGTCAATGAAAGATGAGTGCTGACAAGTAAGCTCCTAAATATTTTTCTTACTTTTAATCTCTAAAAGCTTCAATTTTATTTTATGGTCTCGCGATATTTCAATCAAATCTCTATTCAATAGCGTCAAAAAAAAAAATTAAAAATGGTGATGTGGAATTTTAAAACTTTTCTTTTTAATGTTAAATGCCTACCTTACTGAATAAAAAAGTTAAAAAGATTCTATTGGAATTTTTGATTGTTAGGACTGATTGAACTTTTAAATTGAGTCGGATGAAATAGAAGTTTAACGAAAAGATGTCAATTTATAGAGAATGAGAACTTTAAAGGTCATAATATTGTTTCCTTGTTCAACTTCAATGGTGTTATTGGTTAGGAAATTTACTAAAAAAATTTCTCATCTAGGAATTGTAATTGAAACTTTCAAAACATAAATTGGAAAATAGTATAAACTCGAATAGAGTAAAAAACAAAAGATTTGAGTCAAAATTCGAGGAAGGAAGTTTCGAATAGGAACCGAAAGGCCTGCGATCAATGCACTCAATTTATCTTGATTTAGGTAGTTATGGACTCTTCATTAGCGTTATGATCCACTTCCTAGCAAAGACGACTGCTCAAATAAAATGGGATGAATTAAATCAATAAATTTTTTGATTGATTCAGGGCGTTGCAAAGTCTAGCACTCAATTAGTTGCATTGGCATGTCACTCGACTCCTCAACTCACTTCAATTGCAAAGTTTGATATTCTAGTGTCCTAGACGTAGAAGAACCACACCAATCCATCCCATTGAGAATGACACTTGAAAGATGAATGCATATAACCATTGTTTGATACGAAGCAAAATTCGAGTTGTAACACTGTGTGATACATTTATCCTTATCAAAAAGTTTATTTCTTAATGAATTCTTTTCTTTCCCTATTTTATATAAATTATTAGCCTCAGTTAAGTTTTAAAAATTGAATCTAAAATATCAAAAATAAAAATAAAATAAAAGTTATCAAATGGACTCTAACTTCTAAATGAGTGGAGAACTCATCCTAATGTTTTCAAGCAACTGAGGCAACCATAAGAAAAAATATTCCCTAATTCGAGCATTAACCCGCTAGATAAAATACCTATGACTTATCTTAATATTAAAGTTGGATCTCTTTTTCCATATTTGTTAACCAATAGAATATTCCCAAGAAATTCTATTTGGGTGGGGGATTTTCAAGAGAATTGAAGCTTGCAATGCCTTAAAAGCCAACAAAATGAAAGTAAATGGTTGGTTGGTTTGGCTTAGCTGCTCTTGAATAGTTCTGTTGGCCATCAAAGAGGCAAAGCATGAACCCTGAAAAGCCTCAAACAGTATCCCAAAACTTTAGAAACTGCAAGCCTTTCTTTCACCTTTTATCTGTCAAAACTGCTTCATTACACCTTACACATACCTACAATTAATAAACAATGAATACTTTAAATTATATCACTAACAAGTTATATAGTTTGCTATGTATGTACCTCCTTTTTATTGGAAGATCCACCAAAAGGTTATCATTTCCAACAAAAAGTTCAGTTTGATTCAGGAAACTTCTTTTGCTTCCTCCAACTTAGGTTCAAGCTTAACAAAGGTCACAAGAGATGGTTTCGAGCGATGATTTCGAGCCTAATACATGTTTAGAGAAAAGATTAGAAGCAATAACTACTAATAAGAGCATTTGAAGACTTGTACAACCAATATAAAGACAGAAGGTTTGTGTCTTCAAAGTTCATTGAGTCTTTTGGTTTCATCTACATTACACGAAGTCGAGCGCCAGTATAACGCAGGATGATTCTAGTAGAGACCAAAATAGATGGCTAATAACAGAGTAAGTGCTTCCACATAAGTTTCAAAAACCTTCCCTTGAGAGTTTTTAAGACAACATCAACTCCCCACCCTTGGAAGATGAAACATTCTAACACACATAATGAACACAAATGCATGCTATCAACTACACGGAGCACAAAGCATATGATGCATATTTCTGGTATAAGTCTAGTTTGCATGATAAACATAACTTTAGATAATCATTTAAGAGAAGTACTTTTTCCGTAAGTGTTAAAATCACTTTTGACTATAACTAAACACCATCAACATTTTGAACAGTACTTTTGAATTAGCTAAAAGCACTTTTGAACCTTCTAAAAGTTATCCAAAACTCATCCTAAGTAAACATTCAAACACAAATAATTAGCACAAATGCATGCATATCCATTGCACGGAGCACGACGAACATGATGCACATTTCAAGTATGCTTTTCTGCTGATTGAAAGATGGCGTGGGTGTGTCTTTTTAGACAACAAAACCTATGAATTGTAATAATTGATGTGTGTTCATCAAACAACTCTACTCAAATAAGCATCAAGATGAAACAAAGTCTGGACATTGAAGATGTCTAGTAACATCTATCTATTTTCTGTATGGATAGAAACTGGAAAGTACATTAAATATCATAATCAATGCTTCTGTGTATAAAAGCTATAGACAAACATAGGGAAAAAAAGCAGTAAAAGACGAATACGAAGACTATTAATATGTCAGCAGCAATTTGAAATTTTAGGATACATGCAAAACGTGTAATACAACATAGTATGAATAAAAATGTTTGACCCGTATCTGTCCACACAGAATATCTGTTACTGTGTAGTCATCAGAAGCCAATTCATCAATTTAGGAGCATAGACTAAGGATACAACCAAAGCTAGAAGGATCCATCCATCATGCTCCACCAAATACACAATATGATATATATCACTAAAATCAGCTACTTGTGACCAACCCAACCGTTTGCTAGCTCACTGATGGGGAAATTTTTTAACCATTATTCACAGAATATTTTAAGGTGTGTTTAGTGACGATCCTGTTTCTTATTTTTTTTCAAAAAAAAAAACCCGCTTGATAATGATTTGGTAATTGTTTCTTGTTTCTTAAAAATAAGAAACGTCAACGAGAAATTGTGATAGTTACCAAAAATAAGAAACAGTAAACGAAAAATAGGAATATTACCGAACAACCACTTATTAACACAATCCAAAAAAGCAGAAAAATTTCTGAATACATTCACTGCCAATGACCAAGGGGAAGGGATGAGGTGCCATGCTACACCTGAATATTTACATTATTCACTAACATGAATTTGTTGTCTTAATTTATCTAATGGTATACATGAATAGGAGTTAGAACTTATCTCTTATACGTCTCCCTTGATTAGGGAGAAGATTCATTCACACTCCAGGGAAAGTTCTTCCAATTATCGAAAATTTTGAGGAGGTAAAAGAACATGACAGAGTGAATTATACAGCTTGAGAGGTATAGTGTGGTATATCACCATAGGAGAAATTCATGGACTCCTTGTGCACAAATAGATGTGCCTAGAGGCAGTAGCTTCATCCTTTACTATAGATGATCAGGCTACATATAAACATCCTTTTAGCTTCCAAGGCAACCTTTATCTTCACGAGGTGCTTTTTCTGGATTTAATATGATATACAAACTGGAGAGGCACTGTTTTAACAAATAGATAAATTTCTATGCATCTTCCGAATACACCAAACAAATTAAAATAACCATCACCAAGGTTCAATATGTCCTCCATCTGCATCATCAATAATATCTGCATTAATTGTAGTCCAAAAATCTCCATTCGACCTACTGCTCAGCAGGTCATCACTTTCATTCTCAAAATCTGAATCCTCAAACTCAAATAAACTCTCAAAACCATCATCATAATCATCATCATAGTCAGTTTCTACCTCGTAATCATGATTATTGTCTTCATGATAATTTCCATATTTACTGTCATAAATTTGAGCTTTCCCCTTCTCCCGTCTCATCCTTTTCCCTTCCCTTACGAGCTTCATCCATTGATTTTTTATTACCATAGTCTCGTCCTTGTCCACTAGAACACCCTTATCATCGAACCCCTCAACAAGGAATACAGAGTCTCTCTGACCTTTCAGACTCACATAAAATAACTCTGGATGCCTCACAATCATGCCTCTCAGTTTATTGGGTAGCTCAAAATCTTTTCTGAAATGTGTTAAGTGGTCTATTAAAGTCCTCTTCTCGACCATCATCCCCAATATCTCTCGTACCACAGCACAAGCTCGTTTTTCCGACTCAATAGACTCCTTAGCCAACTCAGTTGCAGGAGTTTTGTAAGGGCAAACATCTGGCAGATCCCTGAACTTAATTAGAAATTCCTGGTGGGCTCTTTTCAAATTCAGCCCCTTTCTTAGTTTCAACAGGTTGAATTTTAATGGCCTGTCGACTATTAGCTCACGTGAAGGAACTTGAGGGCAAGGTAAAGGCTTTGCCAACTCTGAGTCCCAAGAGACAAGCTCTAGTGCCCGACCATATGAGGTATCAACAGTCCTGAATTTGTCTGGAAAATCATTGCAGAGACGGGACCTAAAATTAGGGGGCATGCTTAGATCTGGAGCAAGGTGAACCAACTTTGATAATAGAATCCTGTGGTGTGAAGAAAGCATAAGTAATTTTTGGAGCTTTTCAGCCAAGGTGTTAGAGATAGCCAATTTGAGATCCGAGTCCTGTCTAGCAAGAGATGCTGCTGCTGGGGTTAGACGAACACAAAGTTGGGGATATAGCTTTGTTGCATTGAGTGGTGTGGGTGGATAAGGGATTGAAAAAAGTTCAAAAATGGAAGGATAGCGATGAATCATTGAAAGGAGGGAGCGGGGTTTATGAAGGGCAAGATAGCCACGACACTTGGAAAGAATGTGGAGTGGAATATAATGCTTTGGTTTAGATAGCAGTAGTATTATCAGCTTTTGCACAAATCGAGTTTTGTTATGTTTTACAGCATGCCGATCTAACGAATGACTACGGACAATTTTAAGAGAGGAACAAGGAGATGAGATATGACGAGGCTTGAAATTTTGTTTCCTCTGGTACTTACAACCGATGTTGGAATGCAACCACAATGGATTGCCCCGGAGAAAGTTTGAACTAAGAGATGTTAAGTGCCAGTCCCTTGAGGTTGAGAAATGAGAAGATAAAGCCATTCTTCAGCTTTGCATCAACGAAAGGACTTTTAGCCTACAATAGGTAAACAGATTCATAGGATTTATCTAAAGAATATGACAGATATACTTCTTCCGACTCTGACTCAAGAGCATCAGATGGGGGATGCTACCGTCCTGCTCCTGCATCAGCAGATAAACTGTAAGCAAGTATCTTCAGGTTCTTTACTACCTGCAGTACATATTTACATTTCTACGGTTGTGTACAGTACAGTTTATGGTCCAATGACATTGAAAATAACACGTTATTTTCTCAACTTGTACAATTACAACTTGTGAACAGAAATAAGTAAGAAATAGCAATTTGCGGCAGAGTCTAGCAAATCATTTCACTAGTAAAATATAATAAACAAAAGCAGGATATTTACAACATTATGCCAGATATTTTCATCTTCGTAAGTTAAAAACCTACTACATGCCAAATGTTTAGTTCTAACTTCTAAGAATCAAACAACTCTTAACCTCTGCAAGAAAATTGTTGTGCCATGGGAGAGAGTAAACTGAAAATAGTGTGAAACAAGACTTCTTTTTTGCCTATTGTTTTTGCTGCTACTGTAGTTTTCAGGTTTCTAAAATGTATGAAGAGGAAGTCTCAGATTTCCTTCTCTTCATAGAATCTCGTCATGTGTGTGGCTGGCTGTTTATATATGGAAAAGTTTTTACTGCAACCATGAAACCTTTCAATTGTTGCCACATCTACATGGGTAAGAGTAAATCCAAAAAAGAAGTAAAAGTGTTGTCCTTGGACAAAAGTTTAGGTCCTATTCAATAACAATTTCGTTCTTTATTTTTTGTTTTTAAAAATTATGCCTACTCCTTCTCAATTTCTTTAGAAAGGAAAATATTACTTTCGGATCAAGGATAATAAATAAAATGGAAATAATGTAGACTTAGAAGGCGTCATCCTCCTCTTCAGACGTGTCATCAACAACTTGGCGCTTGTTCGGTCTCCGCTTGTGGCCAAATTCTTAACCAAATTATAAAAAAGAAAAAAAAAAACTAAAATAAATTTTTCAAAACTAACTTTTTTTAGTTTTTAAAACTTTGTTGATTGTGAAGAGGTCTCACATCAATAGTATTTATAAGCTTAATTTTCAAAATAGTAAACCAAAAACAAAATGGTTATCAAATTGGGCGTTAATGCTCAAATCATTACTTTGATATGAGGTTTTGTCCCCTTGAGGGACTAAAATCCAACAGCAAATTAGTAAATCCCACAACCATTACAATCAATATCCTTCACTATAAACGTAGATATAGCGAAAACCCACTTCCATTCCACACTGTTGATAAAATGAACCACGAGTTCCCTCAAGCACTAACATCATTATTCTCGATTCAAACATCAAACACCTCTCAGGCAACAACCTCATGGTTCCTACTCTCACCCATTATTCCTCCTCATAAGAAATAAGTCAAACAAACCCATCTAGAATCCATCTCCTAACACAAACCAATCATCCTACATCGTGAAACCACTGACATCTTGATACAGCAAGCTAAAGGAGGATTAGATCTGATTTAGTGGCATACATGATCCCTCCCACGAAAACACCGTAAACAAATTTAAAATGAAATCCATTCACACATTCAGAGCAACGAAAGCACGCGAAATTACAAAAGCAGAAGATTGTAATGGAAAGTAGAGATGGAGGTGCGAGAGTGTTAAAACGCTATTCTGGGCAGTATCAAACTGAGAATTAATGCCAAAGATGTTCAACACCCACAAACCTGTTGAAAGCTGCGAAGAACTGGAGAGGCGTAGTCCGTAGCAGCTAGTGAGCAGCTGAGACCGAAGGAAAGATCTCAAGCTCCATAGTTGTAGAGGCCCATGTCCAAGTTGCAGCGGCAATAGAACTGGATGAGCGGAGCACGGAGCAGCGTGTCAAAGGGTAATTGTAAAAAATTAGTTAAATTATAAATTTAGGTCTTTTTTCTTTTTTCTTTTTAATGCAATAACAGTTGGGTGGAATTCGAACACAGTATATCTTCGTAGATATGTGCTTTAACCCATATACTAAACCAAAATTAAATTAAGTATGAACTTAATATTTATTGAAAATGAAACGAAATAAATATACTTAATATTTATTAAAAATGAAATGAAATAAAAAATTACTGCAGTAATCAAGCTCAATAAGCTCAATAGTAATTAATATATATCTCCAATTAAGAGATTCAAGTTTCATCCGTCATCCCATATATATCTCCAATTAAGAGATTCAAGTTTCATCCGTCATCCCATATATTGTATTAAACAAAAATTACTCCAATAATTTTTTAATTTGATGAGATTAAAGAATTAATTTACATCAGAAATTTTATGAAATTCGGTAAAATCCAATTTTTTTAGTTAAACTTTTTTTATGTGAAAACACAATTTGAAATCCATTCACTTTCTTGTGATGACAAGCAACATATTCATTTCAAATTTGCCAAATTTGAAATCATTCAAAATCCTAAGCTACGAGACAACCTAGAAGACAATTCTCAATTTGGCTCTTGATTTTCTTAAATTCTTAATTATATGCTTAATCTATTAAGAATTCTTAATTAGGGTTTTGTTAAAAAATTTAGTTGTTATCGTTTGGACTTTATTTCAATTTGGTCTCTATGATTTTAAAAAATATTCAACTTGATTCTTATGGTTTGGATTTAATACTATTTTAGTTTTTATGGATTTAAAAGTTTCACTTTGAGCCTTATGATTTACCTAAACGTCACAAATCGTCTCTGCCTCCACTAAATTGACAACTTTTTTTACGTGGAAATTAGTTGATGTTTTCTATTTGACTAATTGTATTAGTTTAATGTATTAATCATAGCCATCATATTAAAACTTTTAAAATCATAAGAATCCAACTAAAACTAAACTAAACCATATGACCAATTATGTAATTTAACCTAAAAATTATTACAAAAAAATTGAGATATCATTGAATTGTTGTTCTATTAATACACTTACACATATGAATATGCTATTCGAAATATCATAAACGTTAATTTTCTTAGTGTATTTTCTATGATATTTGAGTTTGATTTGAATTATGGTATATTTTGAAATACATATTTATTTTTATACTATTTATATAAACGTATCAAAACTATTTTATAAGTTTTCAATTATGCCATAGGTTTCAATTTAATTATTAATCTTTTAAAATGGTTTCAAAACAACTTTTCTTTTGTCAGAAAAAAAAGAAAAGAAAATTAGAATGAGAGTGGTAGAAATTAGGTTAAATTATATAACATAAGAGTTGATTTCAATTATATTTCAATCATGTGAAAAGTTTGAATTCCACTCTTAGATTACAAGGTGGTCTAAAATAATAAGAAATTGGAGGAGGTTATCGCGTAGAATAATAATATACAATTTTCGGTAGATAGGAAGAAGAAGAAAGTTTTAGATAGAATCTCCAACTAAAAAAAGAACGAAATTGCACAAGTCTTGGTCCGGGATAGCACAATCCCAGACCGTGATTACATAATCCCAGATCGAGATGGAATATTTATTCTATTTCGAAGGATTTAATGCAATTTTGAGGAGATGAATATTAAACTCGGGTCCGAGATTAATGCAATTTCAAGGGATTTTTTTTAAACACCATCATCGTGGGCATTTAAGAAATCTCGAGCCTCTTTTTAAATTAAACACTCAACATCCGAAATTTATGGAATATTGATTTTCTTATATAATTAAATCGGACATTCATGCAATATTAATTCAATTTTCAATTTTCAGTTTCTTGCGTATTTATTATTATTATTTTTTTATAGAAAATTATTGTAGGTAAAAAAGTTCTTATTTTTGGAATCGAAATTGATTCTCCAAATTAAAAAAGTAAAAATGAGTGGAAAGAGGATTTGGTCAAAGATTCAAATAAAATTATGATATGGTCAAAATTCCTAATTTCGCGTATCAATTATTAACGGTGTAACTACCTACTTCTCTACTGACAATCCAGAGAGAGTCATGTCAAAGTCAAAGTCAAAGTTTCAAACGCAGAGGCAGCAAAATGGACTTCTTCCACCGACATCTCTTTCACACACAAAAACGAAAAATCCCTCGGCAACCACAAACTCGGAGAATCTCGCAAGAGAAACATGGCGGAATTCCTCTGGACATTTGCCGCGCAGGAGCTGTTGAAGCAGGCGGTGAAACTCGCGGCGGAGCAAACAGCGCTGGCATGGGGTTTCAACAAGGAGCTCTTGAAGCTGAGGGACTCTTTACTGATGGTGGAAGCCATCCTCCGCGATGTCGACAGAATTAAGGGAGAGCATCAAGCCGTGAAGCTATGGGTGGAGAAGCTTCAAGAGATCGTTTTCGAAGCCGATGTTTTACTCGACGATCTCGCCTACGAACATCTCCGGCGCAAGGTAGAAGCCGGAAACGAGGCCATGGTGAGTAATTTCGTTTCGATCTCCAAAAATCCCCTTGCTTTTCGTCTCAAAATGGCCAATAAAATTAGGGCAATAGCTAGGATGTTGGATAAGCATTACTCTTCTGCGGCTGCTGTGGGGCTTGTTGCTGTAACGCCCAAAGAAATTGAGCCCGATTTTAGCCAGATTCAAGAGACGGACTCGTTTCTTGATGAGTTTGGAGTTATTGGGAGGGAAATTGAAGTTTCGGAGATAGTGAATAGGTTGATTGATTTTAGCCATCGGGATGCTCTGTCTGTTTTGCCTATTGTTGGTATGGGTGGATTAGGGAAAACGGCTCTGATGAAGGTGGTTTTCAATCATGAATTCATAAAGGGGAATTTCGATAGAACTATATGGGTGTGTGTGTCTGAACCTTTTGTTATCAAGAAGATCTTAAGAGCAATTTTGGAAACTCTTAATCCCAATTTTGGTGGTCTAGATAGCAAGGAAGCCTTACTTCAAGAGCTCCAAAAACTTTTGAATGATAAAAGATGTTTTCTAGTGCTTGATGATGTTTGGAATGAGAATCTTACCTTGTGGAATGAGTTGAAGGCGTGTTTGTTAAAGATTTCTCAGAGATCTGGAAATACTGTTGTTGTCACTACTAGGAGCGATAAAGTTGCAGAAGTCATGGAGACACATCCTAGACATCATTTGAAAAGCTTATCGGATGATCATTGTTGGTCCTTGTTTAAGAGTTATGTATTTGGAAATGAATCACTAGATATTCAAGAGTTGGATATTGTCAAGGGAGAGCTCGTTAAAAGATTTGGTGGCATACCATTGGTTGTAAAAGTGTTAGGAGGAACAGTGAAATTTGACGAGAATAGTGAGGGATTGCAGTCAACTTTGGAAAATCTAATGAGAATTCCATTGGAAGGTGAAAATCATGTTTTGTCCACAATAAAGTTAAGTGTGGATCGCCTACCATCGTCCTCATTAAAACAATGTTTTGCCTACTGTTCAAATTTTCCTCAAGACTTTGAGTTTAGAAAACAAGCACTTATCCAAATGTGGATAGCACAAGGGTTTATTCAATCACTAGGGGGAAGTAATGTGACAATGGAGGATGTTGGAGACAAGTACTTCAATGTTTTGTTGTCTCGCTCCTTGTTTCAAGATGTTGTCAAGGATAGTAGAGGGAGGATTATATATTGTAAGATGCATGATCTTATACACGATGTTGCATGTGTTATTTCAAATGCTCAAAAATTGAAATTGAATCTTTTAGATTCACTGGATGGAATACGTCGGAGAGGCGAAGATCGTTCAATTGGTCATAGAATAAGAACACTTGATTGTAGTGAAAATGATGCTAGAAAGTTGCACGTGTTGGCATTCGATAGTCATGTGTTTCACAATAAGATCCTAGACTTTGTCTACTTGCGCGTTTTAATTGCACATTCGTGGTTTATAAATAAATTACCAGATTCAGTTGCAAAGTTGAAGCATTTGAGGTATATTGACATTTCACATTCTACCATAAGAGAGCTCCCAGAATCTATCGTGTTGCTTTATAATTTACAAACATTGAGGCTTGGAAGTTTTCTTAAAGACCTTCCAAAAAATTTGAGAAAGTTGGTTAGTTTAAGACATTTAGAAATTTTCACCAATCCTTGCTACTCTACACAAATGCCTCAACGTTTGGGTCAATTAAGTCAACTTCAAACTCTATCTAGTTTTGTAGTCGGGTTTGATGAGGGATGTAGGATAGAGGAGCTTGGAACTTTGAAAAACCTTAAAGGGAAATTAAGCCTTTTACGCCTTGAGCGAGTCAAAAGTAAAAAGGAAGCAATGACTGCAAAATTGGTGGAGAAGGATAACATTTCTGATCTATATTTTCAGTGGTGTTTGATAGGTGAAAGACAAGGGAGTAATTATAATGATTTGAATGTGTTGGAAGGACTTCAACCACACAAGAATCTTCAAGTCTTGAGAATTCATAACTTTGCAGGAGAACTTCTGCCTAATGGTACTTTCGTTGAAAAATTGGTCGAGATATATCTCCACGGTTGTGAAAGATGCAAAACTTTGCCAATGCTTGGGCAGTTATCCAAGCTTGAGGTACTTGAAATTCGTGACTTACATAGTGTAAGAAGTATCGGGGAAGAATTTTACGGGAATTACCGAGACAAAAGGACTTTATTCCACAAATTAAGAACATTTCACATTTCTGAAATGAGTAGTCTAGAGCATTGGGAAGAAATACGAGCTGTACCAAACGGTACAATTTTTCCACATCTTGAAAGCTTGAGCATTGTTTGTTGTCTGAGATTAACGAGTATTCCAAACTTTTTTGCATCTCATGAGGAGGAGAGGTTGGGTTCAGCGAAGCTTCGATCTCTAAAGATTTTGGGATGTGAAAACTTGACAGAACTACCGAATGGATTAGAATTCTGCAGCTCCCTAAAAACTATGTGGATAGGCAACTGTTCTAATTTGAATTCTGTCCCAAGCTTGCAAAACATGCATAACTTGTCTTCTTTAAGCATAACAGAGTTCCAAAAGTTGCCAGAGGGGCTGGCCCAGGTCCGTAACTTGAAAAGCTTGAGTGTTCATGGTTACTTGCAAGGCTATGATTGGAGTCCACTCGTACACTTGGGTTCACTTGAAAATCTTGTGTTGGCTGACTTCGGAGGAACTGCTGCAATACAACTTCCTCAGCAACTCGAGCACCTTACTAATCTAAGGTCACTGCATATTTCACATTTCGATGGTGTTGAAGCTCTGCCGGAATGGTTCAGAAACTTTACGTCTTTGGAAATATTGAAGGTCTATAATTGCAGAAAGTTGAAAAACATGCCATCCAAGGAAGCCATGTCAAAGCTCACAAGATTAAAGAGTCTACGAGTTTATGGATGTTCAAAGCTTGAAGTTGGCCAATGTGACTTTGAGCGGGTGAAAGTTACCCATGCATCAATTGAAATCCATTTTTCACAGTAAGCTTTTTTTGGGTCAAATTATGTTATTAGTCTCTTTAATTACTCGTTTCTTGTAACAATTTGGTCCTCCTCTTGTTATTTGTATTGATTTAGTCTTTGAATTGTTTTTTTTTGTTGGGTTAAATGTTTAACTTTTAGGGAGGGGAGAAAATAGAGGTAATAACAAATAGGGGATTACATTGGATTGAGTTGCTTGATACAAACTTAATCAACTATTTATATAACTATTTATATTACTATAAATCCTAAGGGATGGGAATAGTAAATCTAATTCAAATAATATAATTTAAACTAAATCTAATTATAATTCAAATAATATTATCTAATATCCTCCTTTTGTTAAATAAGCCAAAACTAATGTCTAAAACAAAATAGAAAACCAAACCCAAATGCCAAAACTAAAACCAAATCAAACGAAAGCCAAAACCAATGCTATAGAATAACCACGCCAATGTCAATGTCAACAAACAACCAATGTCAATGTCCAATGCCAACCAATATGAATGCCAATGTCAATGCCAACCAACCACCACCAATGCCAATCACTACCCAATCTAGTTCCAATGCCAATCACTACCCAATCTAGTTCCAATGTCTTAGAAGAAATTTCAAATCAAATCCGCCATACAAATCCACCAATCAAATTCAATCTTCCTTGAAGAATATCGTAAATAATCTTCCTTGAAAAACAAAAAATCAAAATAAAAACGGACTTTAATTTTCAAAACTATTTGCAGACATTCTGATTAATTTTAATAGTAAAAATTCATACATGCTCTTTTAAGTGATTAATTAGTCGAGGTGTGCATAATCTGACCTGGAAACTCACGGACATTAAAAATTAACATATAGATTTTTTTTTCCTTCTAAGTTTGCTATTTTTGTAATCCACGATTAAAAATATGTTTTTTTCGATATTCGGGAAAAAAATGCAACTCAAACTTGATTTCAGTGTAACATTTATAAGAACTAAATCGTGGTCTAAAAACAAAATAAAAAAACCAAGGGTACATTTTTATCAGGCACTTTGTTTTTACAAGTATTAATGTTGAACACGTTCTGGACATGTGTCGGACACAGATACATGTTGTGTCCATGTTCGTGCTTCTTCGCTTACCCAATAAATTAAGATATATGGAGTAGAGGAGTGGAACAGTTACTGCAAGGTAGATGGGAAACTTTGACGCGCTCGAAGTGACCTCTGTGGTCGAGTTGAATCTGCGAACACTCACAAACTGGCAAACTCTTCAAGGTGGCGAGATTTGAAACTGGCATCAAATATCTGAACACTGTTTCTTTAAACAACAAGGCAGCAAATTTTCGAGTTCGAACAGTACTTCCATTAGTATCAGAATTCCAAGTAGTAGTGGAAGACCATATTAGGAACTGCTCAACTTGCCAACCAAGCTGTGTATCAAGATCGAAGAACAGATGTTGGAGCGAATCCAGCTGCACCACAGGACTCCAATCATAACTCTGCAGCTCCTTATGAACGCTCAAGATTTTCAAGTTGGGGATGGTGGCCAGCCCCTTTGGCAACTCAGAAAACTCTGACATCCCCAAGAAACACAACCTGTGCATATTTTGCAGATCATTTAATGGGAATTTTACATTGCCACAGCGGTATATGCACATGTTCTCCAGGGAGCTGCAAAACTCTATCCCCTTTGGCAGATTTGTTAATTCTCCACATTCCCAAATCACTAGAGATCGAAGCTTTGGTGAAGCTTGAATAATGTTGGGAGTGTTCTTCATTTCTGGACAACAAAGAATGCACAAGCTTTCAAGCACAGGAAAACTTGTAAAATTGTTTGACTTTGATATCCCATTACCACCTCCTATTTCTTCCCAATGCCGTAGAGTGTCCATTTCTTGGATTTCAAATGTTCTTAGTTTGGGGAAGAAACATGTCGTCCTGTAGTCGCCATAGAATTCATCTCCGATACTTGTTATGCTAATTAACCCACAAATTTCAAGAACCTCGAGCTTTGATAACTGCCCCAACATTGGTAAGGTTTCACATCTTTTGCAGCCATGCAGATATATCTCAACCAAATTTTCAATAAAAATAGCATTCGGCATAATTTTGCCAGGAAACTTACGAATTCCTAAGGTTTGAAGATTTTTGTGTGGTTGCAGCCCTTCTAACACATCCAAATCATCATTGTAATTCTTACCAGCTTCTCTTTCTTCTCCCCAATTCCATTCAAAATATAGATCAGATATGTTATCCTTTTCCACTAAGTTTGCAGCCATCGCTTCTTTTTTACTTTCGACTCGCTCAAGGTGTAAAAGACTTATTTTACCTTTCAGGTTTTTCAAAGGTCCGAGCTCTTCTATCTTATGTCCCTTGTCAAACCCAACAATAAATCTAGTCAATGTTTGAAGCTGAATCAATTGACCAAAATTTGGAGGGAATTGAAAAGGATTATAAGAATGGAAAGAAAATTCTAAATGTCTTAAACTAGTCAATTTGCCCAATTCTTTTGGAAGATCTTTAACCTTTCCCAGCTTCAATGTTTGCAAATTATAAAGTAAGCTAATGGATTCTGGGAGCTCACATATTGAAGTTTCTGAAATGTCAAAATACCTCAAATGCTTCAATTTAGCAATTGAATCGGGTACTTTAGTCATGTAATAGGAACTTGCAATTAGAACACGCAAGTAAATGAAGGATTTGATATTGTAGGCAAACTTATAATGACAATCAATTGTTAACACTCGCAACTTTCTAGTTCCATGATCAATTTCAAGAACTTTGTCACTCTGAGGTTTTTTATCCTTTAAATCATCCCATTTAAATTCTTGATAATTTGAAATGGAACATGCAACGTCATGTACAAGGTCGTGCATCTTACAACCTATAACTCTTCCTCTATCATCCTTGATAACATCTTGAAACAGGGAACGAGATAACAACATGTTGAAGTACTTGTCTCCAATATTCTCCATTGTTACATGGCTTTCCTCGGGCAGTGGAATAAACCTCTGTGCTATCCACATTTGAATAAGTTCTTCTTTTTTAAAGTAGAAGTCTCGTGGAAAATTTGAACAGTAGGTAAAACATTGTTTTAATGAAGATGATGGTAGGCGATCTACACTTAATTTTATGGTGGACAAAACCATTTTTTCATCCGGCAATGGAATTCTCATCAAATTTTCCAAAGTCGACTTTAGTCCCTTGTGATTATTATTCTTGTCCAATTTCACCATCCCTCCAAAAACTTTTACAACCAATGGTATACCACCAAATTTCTTAGCGAGTTCTTCCCAAATAACATCCAATTGGGGAAATATCAGCAACTCATTTCCAAACGCACATTTTTTAAACAAAGACCGACAATGATCATTTGATAATTTTTTCAGATGATGCCTGCCACACGTTTCCATAATTTCTGCAACTTCATCACTCCTTGTAGTCACTACAACTGCACATCCTTGTAGTCACTACAACTGCACATCCAAATTTTGGAGTGATCTTGAGCAAACAAGTCTTCAACTCGTTCCATAAGTTAGGATTCTCATTCCAAACATCGTCTAGCACTAGAATATATTTCTTGTCATGCAACAACTTTTGGAGCTCTTTAAGCAAGACTTCCTTACTGTCCACACCACTAAAATTAGCATCAAGGGTTTCCAAGATTACTTTTAAGATCTTCTTGACAACAAAAGGTTCAGATACAGATACCCATATCGTTGTATCGAAATTCTCCATTATCTTTTCATGATTCATGATTGCCTTGGCGAGAAACGTTTTCCCCAATCCACCCATTCCAACAATGGGTAGAACAGACATAGCTTCTTCCCGATTGCTCAGCTCAATCAACTCATTCACTATCTCAGAAACTTCTGTTTCCCTTCCAATAACTCCAATATCATCAAGAAAGGAGTCTGTCTCTAGCATCTGGCTTAGATGATCAGATGGTTCAGATTCAGTTTCAGTTTGTTTAGATGTAATAGCAACAAGCCCCACGACGCTCCCCAAACAATAATGGTCGTGTAATTTTTTGGCGATGGCCTTAGTTTTATTGGCCATTTTGAGACGAAAAACAAGAGGATTTTTGGAAGATGAAGCGAAACTACTTACCATCGCCTTTTTGCTGGTTTCCACGTTGCGTCGAAGATGTTCATAAGCGAGATCCTCGAGTAGAACATCGGCTTCGAAAACGATATCTTGAAGCTTCTCCAGCCATGGCTTCACGCCAGGATACTGTGATTTGATTCTGTCAACATCGTGTACAATAGCTTCCACCATGAGTAGAGAGTCCCTCAGCTTTATTAGCTCTTCGTTGAAGCCCCATGCCAGCCCAATTTGCTCTGCTGCAAATTTCACCGTCTTCTTCAACACTTCCTGCACACCAAAAGTCCACAGGAATTCCGCCATTCTTTTTTTCTCTTCTTAGCTTCTCAAATTTGCAGTTTTCAAGATGCTATGTTTTGTTTTATTCTTATTTTGTTAATGTGGAAAAGCATCCACTTGCGCATCCACTTGCGCTCCTTCCAGCTCATCTGCTACATCCATTGTGGGATCATATTTGACTTTATAATCCATGACGTGCTAATTAATGGGAAATTGGGGTTACCAATAGTTTAAATTGGATAAATGAACCTCTTCTAAAGAAACCAAATTTTTGATTTCACCTCTACTTAATTTTGAACCCACATTTAGTGAAAAGACGAATATAATGCATTAACTTCTCCATTAACTTCCACCAAACTATTTCACCAAACTTTTAACCTCATATTTTACTTATGTTTTGAATTTGAAACAATCCAAAATTTTCACACTATCCAAACTCCTCACATATCACGTTTTTTAAAATCCGGGAAAGAAACGTTGCCACGTGTTTGATCATTGTTCCCACACTATCTAAAATCGTTGTCCCACATTTTCACATTTGAAGAGTTAGAGGTACGTTACATTAAAATTTCTGAAATGATTTGAAATATTTTCCATTCATACATTTTCACTTGGCTCTTGAAAAAAGAAAAAAAATGCAGTCGATATCCCGGACCAAGTATTGTTCCGAGATTGAAGCTTCGAGATCCGGGATTGAATGTTCAATCCTAGACAAATCCAGGTTCAATCCCGGATCGAAAGATGGTTCGGGAGTGAACTGAGATACATCCCAGACCAATCTCGAAGCACTGTGGTCCGGGATATGTCTCGGACCAAGACTGGTCCGAGATGGTCCGGGATGACATGTATTTTGTTATTTTTTTACCACTTTTTTTTGGACGATATTCTTATCTCACTTGATTTTATCTATTTGTAGGATGCCTCGTGTTTTCATAACATTTGGTGGAGAATGGAACGATAGTGAAAAAGATTACGTTGGTGGTCGCACGAGAGGATTGACAGTGGATAGTACAACCACGTACAGAGAATTTCTAGGTCACGTGTATAGATTGAGTAATATAAACCCCCTCCAGTTCGATATTATAATTAGACGTGTATATCATTTTAAAACTAAAGTTTGTGTAATTGAGATAACTGATGACGATGACCTGAATTTTTTTTTAACTGGCGATGATGTATCTGAATTGCTTATATACATATCTACTACGCCAAAGCAAGTACATGAGAATGAAACGTACATGCCTTCTTTCCCATATCATGTAGGCCAAAACGTGTCCTCGAGTTGTATGCCCACAACATGTATTCCCCCATTCCAGAGACTCACATATTCGATACATTCATTTCCTTCCTCATCATCGAACCCCTCTTCTTCCCAACAACCACATCCCTATTACGGGCATTTAGGTCATGATATAGTGGGTTTAACACCATTGGAATCAGATGTTGTTCCATGTAACCTAGGAGATGACAGGGTATGTGATTGGAATGTCCGGGATTATGGAATGATAATCAAGATGAAAGTGATGAATCATATGACCCGTTGGGAAAGTCAGAAGAAAGAGACTATGAAGCAGAATTTGTGAATGATGACTATGACGATGCACTTGATAAAGAGTCTGAGCCCGATGTGGAACAGGTACAAGCTGAGATTCGTAGGGATGAAGCAACGGTCCGACAAATGAGGTGTGATGGTCTCACTGGAGAGCCTAATGATGGGAAGTTGCAACTCATAGTACAGTCTTCTGGAACAAATGATGTTAAGGAGGGCGAAGTATTTAATACGAAGAAGGAGTTGAGTTTGAGAATGCATTTAGTTGCAATGCGGTTGAATTTTCAGTTTAAAGTAAAAAAGTCGACACCGGAACTATATATA